AAAATTAGTTTTCCTGCCCCATATGCAGCCGCGCAAGCCATGGTCTGGGAAGAAGCACATCTCCCTGTCACACCAACCTCGGATGCCTCCGAAAACCTCTCGTGTATCCCTGCTGCCCATCAACGAGCTATGAAGCCATGATGCGAGTGGCACCATTGACTGATTCGCAAGGCCCATCTCCCCATTCAACAGCATGAAGCGAACGGCTAATCTACATGCTTCACACTGTAGGATACGCCTGTGGTGGAAATCGAAATATGTGCTTAGGGCACAGTTCCAAAAGCTTGGGGTCCACCATTACCAACTCTACACTGACTAGATCCTCAATCCGACGGCCGTCGGGCTGTGGCGTGATTGAGCTCGGAAAATCCGCGTCGATGGATGTTTCTTCACGTCTACTTCGGACGCGTGTTTGCTCGATCGTGGATAGACGCCCTGATCCGATTCACGCCACATTAGATGTCGAAAGAAATTTCGCATTAGACTACGGCTGCTTTCAGTGAGCTGTCGCTCATCGCTTTGGACGGTCGAATGGAGCTGCGGTTTGTTTTTATTCAATTTGGCGCTAATTCAGGATTGCACCGATGCCCGTACCCACAATTAACCTTTCAAATATGAGACCGCATCAAACACGTAGGCCGTCGGACAGTTCGAACAGCTACAACAAGTCGAATCTTGGCCAACGGAATTTGGTCCAGTCTTGTGGGCCGCCATGTCGTGCTGCAGGGAATAATACGTCCCAAAATGCTTCTTTCTCTGCAGTGTATTCCATCGATTTTCACTTCTTCGACAATACTTCTCCCGCAACCTAAATCGGTTGGCTGCAGGGCATTCTTCTCTGCTCATCAAACACCTAAACTTATCAGCACACCTTCAGCCCTTGGACTGAGGTAGAATGCAGATGTCTAGGTTCGGTTACTACCCGGAACCCGCGCATAGTGCTTGGCAGATTCAAGGTTAGCCCGACCGCTGCAAAAGCAATGCTGCGGAACCAACTCCTCTAGGCTCTTATCTGTCGGCTTTCAGCGTTGGATGATGTAATGGTGCGCAAAAAAATTCCTTACTTTGGAACTCGGCTCCAGACGACTAAGGTTCTAGAGAATGAGGCTGCGCAGGTGGCTTTTTGTCGTCAAGCGATCGTCCCCTTGCGCGCTTCCCGCCGCCAATGCACCAATCAAGGCAGTTCCTTATAAATGGAACTATCACGTTCCTCGAACGTGTGAGGTCAAGATGTCTCCAAAATATCCGCTGACAGGTTTCATCTGACCGCGGAAACTCTTTTGCTCGCCGCGATATGTCCCCGCATGTCGATCCCCCCGCACCAACCAGGATTAGCATGCTATAGGGACGCCCTATTACGCATCTTGTGGTAAACGCTCTCACGGTAATAGGGCAAGTGTTGGGCGCAGGATGACGTTAATGGCCAAAACCCGGTGCATAATATGCTGCAAGCTCACCAGTGGGCCAGCGGACCGCCTGTATCAGGTAAACCATAATGGAGTTACCCCTCATTCCCTGCATCCATATGGAGTTGCTCACCGATACGCAACGTATACCTCAGCTGGCGCCCTTTGCATGTTGACAAGCAGCATTACTTGAGCATCAGTCGTAAGCGGCATCACGTTTCCAGCATTCAACCCCTTCGACTCGTCGACGCCGATCGAAATGGCAGTTCAACCATGGTCAAATCTCCCAGAAGCGCTGGGAGGCCAGAATATCCTCAATCAGCTCGATGATTCCTTCAAGACAGACAGTATTTTCATCGCTTTCGCGACGACAGACGCAATCAAGGAGCCTCAGACGTTTGCCATCAAATCCAAGGGAAGTGAGGTCGCACTTGTTGTGACTGTTTGCAGTGGCAAGGGCAAGATTAAGGCCGGCAAAGATGCTGAAGCGTCTTTCACCCTCGTGGCTCCCGGAGAGGACTGGGAGTCTTTCTTCAGGCAGGTTCCGATCAATCCGTACCAAAGCTTTTGGGGTAAGCAGGCAAGTATTGATCCAAAATGACACAACCTGACGCAGCACAGGAATGCTCACGCGTGGACTGCCGGGCGTCAAAGTCGAAGGTTCCGAGGCAAACTTCAACCATCTTTCCCACCTCTGGCGTCGCGTGCTTGAGCTCATACGCGAAGCGTACTCTGGACACACTCCGACGGATCCGGACCCATCCGACACAGAAGAGGACTTCATTACGGGCGAGTACAAGTACATCACTGCGCCGCTATGGGGACGGAACAAGATCTTTATCGAAAAGGCGGGCTCGGGAAGACAGCAGATTCTCTTCTTACACACTGCCGGGTCGGACAGTAGGCAGTATCACGGCGTCATGAATGATCGCAGGATGAGGGAGCGCTGTTCCATGTACGCGGTGGACCTTCCAAGTCATGGGCGCAGTTTTCCGATAAAGGCCTATCCCCCCGGAGCACACACCAACACCGAGAATGCGTATGTGGGATTCATCGCTGCAACGGTCAGGAGACTTGCGCTCAAGAAACCAATCATCTGTGGCGCCTCAATGGCAGGACAAGTGTGTTTGGCCATTGCAATGAGACATGAGGAGGTCGGTGCTGCTGGAACGATTCCTTTGCAAGGGTAAGCAAATTGAGCCGTTGAAGTAGCAGCGAACTGAACCGCTGTCCTCCAGGTGTGAATATATTAGCACGACGCGCAACTCCAACGACCGCTCGCCCTATGTCAACCAAGCACTTTGGAATCCTGAGTGGATCTACGGCATGGCGGCGCCGACAGCACCTCCATCCAACAAGGCGTTGCTCTGGCACACTTATTCTGGGCAAGCGTACGGCATCTTCCACGGCGACTTGGACTTTTACTTTGGCGGGTTTGACGGACGCGAGCGCCTCAAGACGATCAACACGCGCAAGTGCCCCGTTTACATGCTGACGGGAGAGTACGACTGGAGCACCACACCAGCCATGAGCGAAGCCACGGCGGCCAAGATTCCCGGCGTGGGGTTCCGCGTCATGGAAGGGTTGGGGCACTTTCCGGCAACCGAGAACCCTCAGCGCTTCATACCGTATTTGATTGAGGCGATTGACTGGATTCAGCAGAAGAGGAAGGAGGCTACGGACTTGAGTCTGCTGCGCATGACCGACGATTGAGGGTTTGGTGAATGGCTCGTGGGCCGGTAGCGGAGAAGACGCTCTTTTTGCGTGGCTGATTGCTTCTGTCTTCATTTCTAGTTGTGCAGTCACTTGAATGAGGAATGACTTTTCATTTCCACTTCCTCAATATCTTGGGGGATGGGACACTGCGCATGCCATCTTCTACGCTACTCCATCTCCAGCTCTTATCACGCCTCTTCTCGCCCTCCTCAACCCTTCCACCCAAGACTATGGCTGCGGCGCGATTCGCACACGCTTCTGCTTCTTCGGTCGTCAATTCTGCTGGACAACGTCGTCGTGAAAAGTACCAGGCGCGTATGCATTTATCGTCCACTAGCAAAGTCCGTTGATGTTGAAGAGGGGTGGAGATGTCACTGTTCCGTAAAGAACAAGGAGCACGGAGGTCCAAGTACAAGAACATTTCCTTCGCAAGAACCGACTCTCTCCTTTACTCCACCGCTCCCCCCAAAACTTCCAGCCATCTTCCCAATACCAGATTTCCTTCTCGATGACAGATTCACTCGACAGCTCCCAAATCGACGTTATTGTCATCAGTGATGATGCCTTTTGTGAGGGCTTCGTGGTGGGTGTGGCATAATGGTTCGCGTTTCTCAGTGGTGGTAACACGGGGCGTTCATGCTGAGTCAGGGGGAGATGTGAGAAGCCTTCAGCCATGGCCATTGAGTCGCTTGGAATTGCAGTAGTCTGCGAAGCTTTTAAAGACGAAGATGGCCATCCTTCTGATCCTTGGGTTGCTCGCTTCCCCAGACTTTGTCGTCATTCACAAGATTTTGCATCTGGCTTACTTCTTTTCTCCACTTCCTTCATTAGATGAGCCTATTTGAACTGTATTTGGTCATCATCTTTGGACCAGCTGTGTCCAGGTACGTGCAGTCAGGCTATGCCGTTGAAGTCTCCTTGTCCGGAGAAAGAAATAGAAATTTTGCCCATGCCAAATACCACTTCACGGTCTTCCGTGCTTCACGTCCCGCAACATGATTTCCATGTTGGCCCCTGAATCGACCCTCCATTTCTTGTGGTGTTGTTTTCTTTTTGGCGCGCGATTTTCTTCAATCCATGGAATGCCCCGTTTGCAACTCCAGATACCGCAGAGAGAGACGAGACCGATTGAGCGAGATGCTTGTCCGCACAGCGACCAAAATGTCAATTGACGAGCCGCGTCGATCAAGAAACTCGAGTAATCGCCATGCCATACATCATCCAGCTCTTTCCCCATCTCACCCAGCACTGCTCCGCGTGCCGCTTCTACCCATTGCCCACCCGCCGCTTTCCCCTCGCGTAAACTCGCTCGTCGTACCGTTTTGCGCTGCCTCCGTCTCCACACGGACGGACGGGGCAGCAGCCGGCGGCCGCAAAGCCAACGCAACGTCGGCCGTCTCATCCCCTACGTCAGTAGTCCGTCAGCCCACCCGTCGTCAATCGAAACGAGCCGGCAGCCCTCCTCTCCTGACCTCACTACTACTGGCGCGGTACGGGTACGGAGCGGTGGGGGCACTGCAAACGGAAAACACGACGACCCGGTCCCGACTGCGTCTCATGCCGTCCCATCGACCGGCACAGCACAGGCAGCCTGTCTGCGTTTGCCGATGAAACCCTCCGAGCTACGCCCGAAGCGAGCGCGAACAAATTGGGGCACAGCTGCGAGACACAACAAGCAGTCCTGCACCGCGTAGCATCGCAAGACGCAACCAAAAGGGAAAGACCGACGCAGATTCCTCGTGGGGCCGCCCGCAGTCGCATTGAAGCGCACGAGCCACTCCCGCGCGACGCACGGACTCCGTCAAATTTCTTCAACACCACGCACCCTGTGGCCCCGACAACTGCAAAACGACGCCTTTTGAAGGGCAAAAAGAATGGTGACGAAGACGAGACTCGAACTCGCGCAGATTTCTCTACTAGGAAGTTTGTATTAAGGTATGACCTTAACCTAGCGCCATAACCAACTCGGCCACTTCGCCTTTGATGGAATAAGGATTTTGATGTTTATTTATATCATCTATAATGTGTTTTGAAACTTGCTTAAAGTTACCTTGAAACTAAGCTATAGTCAATTCTAATTTTAATATTATAGGGTTATGCGGCCCTTAATTACGCGCGCAGTCATCATTATATGTATTATACTATATTATAAGCAGGTGCGCGCTAGGATTTAAACCCTAGATTATATATTTTCTATATTTTCTAGAGTTTAGTATAGGTATTACTACTTGTATATATACTAGCCTCTTTTAGCTAGTCTAGGAGTAGATAGTCATCCCGCACCAGCTGCTCAATGACTACCCCAACTCCTCACCTATTGATTGTTAGTAGTCAGTATCGATTCGCTCTGCTAGGCGCCGCGACAAGAAGCAACTTGTCATTGCTAGTAGGCGCAACAGTCTCAAACCTCAAGGCCTCATAGTCTCATGGATTACACAAACAGAAGTAAGCAAGCAGAGAAGACACATGCGCAGGTGGGTTTTTCAGAATCCAAGACGGCGGCTTGCTCCAAGTCGCCTTGGTGGTGTGGCTCAATCGACCGAGCATGTTCATCAAGCCATAGGAGTCCAACAGCATTGGAGTTCTTGGTTTTTCTCGCGCGGGTCGCCCCACCAGGAAACAGATATCAAGGTAACCTTAACCTGGCGCCATAACCAACTCGGCCACCTCACAGATGAACAGGGGCAGAAGCTGCTTGGGAGCAGCCGCGCTTGTTGTTGGAGATGGACTCACAACAGAACATTATAATCTACACACACGTGCGTCTCCCAAAGTTTGTTCGGTTCCGAGCGATGGTCGGATGAGACACTTGATGGTATTCCCCCTTTTCCGCCCCTTAGTCGAGGCACAATGTTCTCTTGAAATTTCGAGGGGTGCAGATGATAGATTAGCATGAGGGCCTTGAGACAAGTGAATCAAAGAAAGCAAGATCAATAGACACAACGTGAAAGCGACCAAAAAAAGAAGACAACGAAACAAAGGAAGAAAATCATCCACAAACAGACGCCTACAAAGAAACTGCCGCAGCAATGGGAGCAGCAGCACATCAGAGTCTCCAATGCAAAGACTGCTGACCTGGACGTACCTGGGAGCAGATGCACGACCAAGTCGACTCGTCGATCCAATGCAGCGCAGCGCAGCGCGGCGCCCAGCCCAGCCCAAGCGCTGACGGCGCCGGCGGCCATCTAACATCACATTATTCTCGCAGCGCAGTCAGTCTCGACAAAGCCAGAACGGACCAGACGCTCCGCGCAGCGGGCGCAGCGGCTGGCTGCGACCTCACCATCCACCCGCTCCTCCTCCCATGAAAGGAGGGAGCAACAAGTGGCAGATGACAGCCCGACAGCGAGACAAAGAGAGAAAGCGGGCACAAGCAGCGGCGGAACAAAGGAGAGTGCTCGGTCACGGCGACGAACAAACCGACGCCCGACAACCCTGGATGAGACAAACCAAGAGAGGCAGAGTGCCAGGGGCCGGCCATGAGCTACCCACGTGCAGAAAGCGCCGCTGAGGGAAACCTGGTACAATGGGTACCTCCAGCGCGCGCGCGCGCGCGCGCTAAGGCTGGACTGGCACTCCTGCCCAACAAAGAAAGACGCAGCTGGACCATCCAGCCAGACCACCACCGAGACCAGGCCAGCCCACGGGATGAACCGGTAGCAGCACCACTCACGTTGACAGTCTAGTGGCGCCTCTCCCGCCGCATGGCCATCACGAGCCCCTCCATTGCTTGCTTGCGCCCCCTTGATCGCATGGCATTGCTCCCCCATTTTGCGCAACGCAACGAGCGGAACAACAAAAGGAGGGAGATTGGGAGTCGCTGCGCCACATGCCGTGATGCAGCTATCCGTTCTCGACGGCCATTGCCTTATCTGGCAGCTTTGCCATGGTCTGCCACATGCTACATCATGCTGACGGAGCAAGCACCCAGACCAGCGCCGGTGCGGCGCTCGCGCGCGTGCGTTTCTTTCATTTACCGGTTCTTTGGGAGAGGGAAAGGAAGGGGAGGCGTGCGCGTGCAGACGCCGGGCGGGCGGACTGCCTGGCTGCTCCATGTGCGCTCGTTTTCGCTTTGTTGGTATAGTTCAAGATGAGGGAGGTGGAGATGGGCTTTGTTTTTCCTTAGCTTGTTTATTGCGCGGCGCCTGTCGCGGCGGCGCCGAGGGGTGATTGACCGGTTAGATACAGCAGATGCAGCAGATGCAGCAGATGCAGCAGAGGTCTGAGAAGAGTCCGTCCGCACGCATGTAGGTGTAGGTGATGATGTGCAGCTACCCCGCCTGCGGTTGGAAAGATGGTGGTGATGGTAGTGGTGTGCTACCCGCTTGCGGTAGTCTGCATCACACAAAGACAGCTACAAACCTGTCATGGCCGAGTTCGTGGGTAGGTGGGCGGAAGAGGAGAGACATTCCAAGTGCCGAACGAACGCATTGTTTTGGTGGACTGTTGCACCGCCTTAGCTCGTCCGCTGGTGATGCAAGTGCTCCATGCCATGCAGGTCTGGCTGGGTGCATGCGGTTCTTGCCCAGAATGGCACATTGCATGGCGGATGGTGTACGTAGGGAACAATTCGACCCTCTAAGAACCGCATAGCGACTGACTCGACATGACCTCGACCGGTACGACAAGTCAAGAGAGGAGTTGGTCAATGGAGATACCCGCCTGACGACATGGCCTTGCATCGCAACACACCACTTTGGTTCTTTCCAATCCCTTTATCCACGGCGGCCGCAGGGCCTAAGCGCTGCAGGCAGCGGTAAACGAGATGCGGGGTCGACGGACGGCCATCTTTCGGAACTCGCGCAGGACGGGCGAAGCATTCATGCCGTCGACGAAGGGTGGGGGAGGGTATGCGGAACGCAGCCAATGCGGACGCGATTCGCTGCCTTTCCTCTCAGATGAGGTGGTGTGGTGGGATGGACGGATAAAGAGGGGAGGTATAGCCCAGCTCCACAGCTTGGCGACCAGCTGTTGAGGTTGGCGCCAATCCGGCTCAACGGCAATGATGCTGATTGATTGCGGTCAGAGCTAAGCATTCTTTGCGACGGTGGCAGCCAAGCATGGCGCAGTGCTTGAGTCTCCGCGGACGGCGCTTTCGGGTCGGATGCTCCGTGAAGCCGTAAGCAAAATGATCACAGGCAGCAAGATTCGCGCCAAAGGTTTCGTTGCATGATGGTTGTCCAACATCGGATCCAGGGATCATTGTGTAGCAAGCAGTGCTTGACCTGCATGCGAATCTCTTTGCGCTTTGCCAGTCCAAGCTGTGTTTACGAGACTGTTTGATGCTTGGTGTTCGATCCGACGACGGCCCCGCCCGTCTCCAGCAACAACCGACCCCAAATGCCCGGCGATGCCGCGCTGGCAGCCATTCACGGCACGGATTGACATTTCTGGGCGGTTGAGTGGTTGCTGAAAAAAGCAGCTGACAGAGTGTGTCAAGCCACCAAGAGCTTAGAAATTGGCAGTTACCACCGGACATCTTGCCATGCTGACTGCTGCGCGGACAACTACAGGATGCAAAGTCCCAGGAAACAAACACGCCGCACGGACACGACGCAGCACGTTGCACCGCGTCTGATGAGATTACATTTAATCTTTGCAGTCTGCAAACTTACATGATTTGCTTCTAGAACAAGCCCATGGTTTATTGAAGAGCAAATTGTTTCGAGCGCAACGTTTAGCAGCAAAGAGCCTCAACGGTTTCGGCGTCTACACCAGGAGCCCGGAAGATAAGTTGAGAACATTCTTGAGCCTTGCCTGAAAGCCTACACTCTCCATTAGAAAGCTATTGCCCAAAGGGCATGCATCTAGCAGGCCTGGCGCCCGCCAAATGATGAGGCATGCAAACATTTAGATCATGATCTCAATTCAGGTCTTCAGATTAAGGACGTGGCTCCGTGAGTCGCAAGAACCAGCAGAAACGGTCTGCTCCGCGAGAATCATACGGAGTCGTGCAGCCGTGTCTTCAGGACCGAACAGCTTGAGACTAATGGGAGACGATCGGCGGCTGCATGCCTGCACTCTGGCCAGCGTGAAACACTGCCGGGGGTGTAGCCGTTCCTATCTTTGTCGAGACGAAAGCCACCTTGCCCGCCTCAAAGTCACTGTATCTGGGGTACAGCAGAGGATCAAGATTACCGAGATTGCACCCTGAAACGGGCCCGAGGAAGAAAATAACACATGGCATTGGAAGCTTAGAGACTGGCGAGTAAACAGCTCAACGGCGGGCGCTGAAAGCAAAAACAAGTCGTTAGCATGACGATCTCGTCGCAACACTTCGACCTTGGCGATCGCAGACAACCCAAGTGGTCGAGTGATTGGGATCCCACTGGAACCTGGGAATAGAACGGCTTACCAAGACCAACGTGGGGGAAATGGCCGTCATTGGTGGCAATAAAGCTTTTGGCAAAATCTTATGAGCTTACAAGCCGACCCAGTTGGCTTTGGCAATCTCCACACCGGTGGCCTGGGGGTGACGTGCAGGACAAGTCCGGAGAGCGTGGAACCCGACTCGACTCTATGCGCTGGCCAGGTCAACCACTCACTGACGCAGTGACGAGCGGGGCTGGCGCGCATCAACTGGGAAACGACAGAGCGAGCCTGCGGCTGTGTGCGAAGAGAGTGAGGTTAGGCGCATGCCGTCGAGAAGCACGAGTCCCAGTCAAGCTGATGGGAACGAATCCGATGGTGCCGACTCAAAGTTTACCAAAGAGGAAAGGCTAGCGGTGGTCTCGGGTGGCTGCCCGAGGACGGATCCAAACCGCAACTCACACCTAGCGTGCCTTCTGGAACATGCGGGCTGTCAAGACGGTGCCGGCGTCGTTTTGATGTCGATTGTGGATGTTGTGGTGGCTAGCTGAGGTGGGATGAGTGGAAAGTGACGGTGACAGTGGACTGGCGTGGCAGTGACGCAACGCGGCCGTGGCCGAGCAACGAGGTGGACGGCGTCGACAGATGATGCAAGGCAAAAAGCGTGGTG